TTGTATATATAAATTATATTTGTATAAATATTTGTATGTATCATACATTTATCACTTATATTTTTTTTTATTAAATATATATGTGTGTGTATATATATATATATATATACATATATATATATTTGTGGATCTTCCTGGTAGTATATTCTTACAGTATTTAATGGTCCAACATGTATTGTGTTAAATAAGTTTTTTTGCAAAGCGTTCAAACAGCCTACTTTATTTTTTGGAAGGTTTTCCGAAGCTTTCCTGGGTAAATAATCATTTTTTCATGAATGTTTGGATCTTCAAAATGATAAATTTATAGATTTAAAAAGTGTCGGTTCTAGGCAAAAAATGGCCATTTTTATATACCCTTCTTTGTATTATTATATTTGTTTTTACTATTAAGTAAAGGTTATAATGATGTTATGGTCACCGAAGAGATATTATTAAAGACCAATAATCTTATGGGATTTAGCCCATACACTACAGAACGTTGAAAGAACGTTGCAATGTTGAATGTTGTAGTGGGAATATGTTTTTTTAACATTGAATTTTCTACATTGATTGTTAATGTTGCTACAACATTAAAATTATATAGAACAAATTATTATATTTTGAAACAATTAATAAAAAACATTGCATTGAAATAAATAATATAATATACAGGGTGTCATACTCAATGGTACAGCGCTTGTGGGGAGGTAATGTAGACCAAACTGAATAAAAAAGTCCTCTACCATTTTGCGATCTTCGCAATAGTTTTCAAGATATTAATATATTATGCTCGTCGAATCTGAATGCGCGGCGAGATACCCCGCCCGCCGCGCATTCAGATTCGACGAGCTTTATATATTAATATCTCAAAAACTATTGCGAAGATCGCAAAATGGTAGAGGACTTTTTTGTTCAGTTTGGTCCACACTACCTCCCCACAAGCGCTGTACCATTGAGTATGAGACACCCTGTATATCTAATGTAATTTTTATTAAATAAAAAATAAATTTTTAAACAATTAAAATTTTAATTATTGAAGTATTTTTTAATTGTATTCTAAAATTTTAGGTCTATGTTCGACGTACAAACAAGTAATTTGGTTAATTTTGTTAAATATGAACAAATTTACGTAAATAAAAACTTACGCAATTTTAACTTGATCTACTAACGAGGCTCATTTACATACGAACGATATTTAAATCTTTACGCGGAAATTGATGTTGGTTATTTTGATTATCGATTGTATTATTGTATGTTAACATTTATAAAAAAATATATATATTTTCATCTTTTTGATAATTTTATTAATCTGATCTATCACGAATATGTATCCATGATATTACCATATTATCAATTAATCATATATCACGAAGTGTCTGCAATTCCCGATCACAGAAGTTAAGCATCGTTAATTGATGGTGGTAGTGGCTTGGATCTAAATATTAGTTTAGAAGGAATTAATCCCTTGGAAACAACCAATTTTTTTTAACGTTTTATAATGATTTTTATTTTGGTTTCATAAAAATCAAATAGATACCTAACAAATATTATTATTCTTTGCGGATTAAATTAATAATGAATAATGTTGAATTGCAATATTTTACAGATGTTCTAAAATTATCAAATTCTATGGACATTAAACGTTTCTGCAATATCTTTTCAACGTTGAATCTACATTTTAAAACGTTGATTTAACATTCGCAATGTTATAATTTAACGTTTCTGAAATATTGATTCAATATATGTGTGTTGTATGGGCAGTTAGCGTAGTTGTTTAACAATTGCTAAAAGCAGTTAGCCAATAATACAATATTAATTTTACGGTTTATTCTTAGATCAACGTTTAGATATGTTTTAACATGCACATAAATATATTTACAACTTGCTATATATAAGTTAATTTTATTTGAAACTGCATTTTTATAGTTACATTGAAAAAAAAAATTTTGGCATTTGTAACTATTTACAAAGTACCATATATAATTATATGATTATTACTACCATTATTAATAATAATTATATATATGTATGTATAGTTTTATCAACAAATATATATATATTAGGACTGATGATTTCCTTCGAAGGCTTCGATATTCGAACATCGAACCTTCGAAGCTTCGAAGGTTTCGAAAGATCGGCATT